AGTATAGATTATAATTACCCTTTTTTTACAGGTAATAGAATCTAATTTTAAAGTTTTTTTTCTATAAATGGAATTAACTTTATTAATTCAATTTTATTATCAAAATTACTTTTTATTTCTGGCTCTGTGAATGGCAAATCAATATCATGATGACTTTCCAATTTATTTAAATAAGCATCATTTGTTTGTATGTCAGATTCATTTTATACAGGAGAAAAAAATTGTATAATAGTATTGCTATTTTGTATGACCATTTTTTGCAGCTGCTTTGTGTCTTTTTTGAATTCAGATACTATTACCTATGTATCGAAGTGGTCGTTTAGGTTTGATATTTTTTGTATTGAAAAGCAGTTTTTTTAATGTATTTTCAGATTCATTATCAAGTTTAGAATCTGCTCACATAATCTCATCATCAGAAGATATTTTAGAATCAGATGACAAATCCTCTTTAAATGGAGAATCTTTAACGATAATCAGCTTATTCTTTGAAGATATTTGTTTTAAATATTTTTTTTGCTTTGATAATGTCCCATCGTTCTATGAATGAAGTTTTACATTTTTTTTTCTCACCTCTTTTTATAAAAGGTGTGCAAATTATGCACCAATAAAATTTAAAAACAAAAATTAGAAGCTTAAGTCATTTTTTTTATTAAACATTGAAAAAAAAAGTGGTGCTAAAATTTTTAAAGTTAATGCCACACAAAAAAAAAGCTGCTAAAAAAAAGATTAAAACTTTATTTAATCAAAGTTAATCTCGATATAGTTTAATTTAAAAAAATGCTGACTTTTATGAAATGTATATGATTAAGTAATGTAAGATTGATCAATCATATTCATTTACTTTGGATGCCAAATTTTATGACACATATTAGAAATAAATTCTTATTTCTCTCAAATTAGTAATCGGATTGTAAAATTTTTTTCATTAATTTAAATTACAGATTACAAATAGGTTGATTGTTAGGAAAATCAGGTTCTAGGAATTTTTTAGCAAAATTGAGATTTTTATTGCATTTTAGTTTTTGATGTTATTAGATT